ACAAGATAATATTCATTAACTGCTCAAGTGTCTTAAGCTGTTGATTTTGCATATGTGTTTGTTGATAAAAAACCATATTGGGAAGTGGCGTAGCCGGGATTATGCTTAGAAAGAAGAGTATCATACTAGAAAATAGTTTTTTGGTGGTTTTTATATCGTGTATTTTCTATAGACTATATTTTCTTAAGGGACGGCGAATCTCATCCATTTGCTCTTTCTAGATACACCACTAATTTTAGGCAAGACGAAGCGAAGAGGAGGCGGTCTTTATTTCTTCTTTTATTTTATTCTTCTATTATAGTACCGCAAGGAAGCCTGTTCTTCAACACAAGTTTCTCCTAAGTATTTAATTAGAGAGTTCGCAACAAGAAACAATACGAATCCCAAATAAAGACATCTCATGCCAGATATTTTAAGGTTTCTTATATGAAGACCGTATACGCTAATTAAATGAAAATATAATTATGCTTCTTCTAAAAGTTGAGAACAGAATAAGCACTATTTCATATTAACCTTTAACCAATAACAGAACTAAATTACTTTCCTCTTCCATCGATAAAAATTCAATTACTCCAATGGACTAAGATTTAATTGAAATACTTTCCAAAAAAAATAGTAGTAGTTTCTAGTGGATATTTTAAATAAACGAAGATAAGCGCCGTCAGAAATAAACAACTTCAATATATCAATTTTATCCTAATGACTTAGAACATATTTATTTACAACAATTCTTTACCTACACTTTCCAACCCATTCAAATACTTAAAACTAAATATTTATTCCTTTGATGGATGAGCTGCGATCCATTCCAAAGAGCGGAGGATGGCTGCTGGAATTGGTGGTGGAGTGGGCAACAATGGGTTGGCAGCATCAACATGATAACCATTTTCATCAGCGGTATAAGCCAAGGAAACTTGTTCGCCTTCAGGTGAGGTGTATGAGTATTGACCATTGACGACCCAGGTATCTTCTGCTTTCAAGTTGCCTTGTTGTTCAGCTTTGATGCTGTTGTCGAATTCATAAGCATATTTGAAGCTGTCTACATTGACTTCAGCATCGCTGCGGATGACATTGACGTCATTACCGGCGAAGGCTACGGCCAAAAGGCAAGCGAATACAACCTGAAAAAAAGAAATGAATAGATTAGATTTCACTTTAATCCGAATAGGTGCGATGTTTTTTTTTTGTATTGTAATCCTTGATATCAATTTGTATAATTGGGAAACTTACGAAGAATTTCATGTTGATTTTAATTGAGTTGTTTTGTTGATTTGTAGTGATCTACTGATGCTATCTTCCGATAGTCGAATGCCTTTTATACAAAAGTGTTAATTTTTTTTTGTTTTTGATTTCTGCGTAATTTGTATATTTCTTTGTTTTTTTTTTTCTTTTTTTGATTTTATTCAAATTTATTATTTATGTGGGATATAAAAAATTCAGCAGCGGTCAATACGAATTTACGGCAAATTCTTGTTTTTTCTTGTTTCTTCGGTGGTTTTTTGGGCAGACTTTGTTTTGTTTGAAATGCTCTTGGGGCCAATGTTTTTGTAAGTCATCATGCGTTGCTTTGTTTTCCTAATTATGAAATAATTTATTGATTTTGAATATGTAATAAAATAATTGAAAAAAAAATTATGAAAACATTTTCTGATGAATGAATTTTTGCACCTTGGAGTAAAGAAAGAGGAGTGCATTAAAAAAAGATAGATTATATGAAAAAGTTGTTGAGCCAAAAAAATTGGATTTGAATGAAAACAAGTTGCCAACATAAATGAAAAAATTTCATTGTATGTTAGAAATAGAATTACATTCCATTTATCACCTCAAAGAAGTTGCTCCAAATCGTTTAACGTCATAAAAGGAAAACCGCAAAAGGAATTAAAGGTCATACTTGTATATATCTATCTACCCACAACGTAAGGAGGATCTGCTAAAAGATAAACCCATGTCAAGCACCAAAAATAAAAAATATATTGTCCAAAAATCTTCTACTGGTTGGAACATCTGTATGGATAAGTTATTTTTGGTTCTAGTGTGAAAAACTGGCTATTAAGAATTTCTTTCTTTTCTTTTCTTTCTTCATGTGGTTTTTAGATAAATTCGGTTCAATTCAAAAATGTGATCGATAAAAGTAATCATCTTTCATCATAATATAACCCACGTATACGATATTAATAGAATAGGGTCACATTTTCCTCTTTTAATATGAATAAAAACTTTTACAAGCATATTAGTGGGTCATAAAGTTCAATTTTTAATTTAAAAATCCGTATGACATTGTTTAGAACATTTCTCATATAATTATACTAGTTTTTAGTGAAACAATTCCAACTTTCAACATTTCGTCTCACTACTTGTAGTGTTTACCTAAACCTCCCAGCTTTTTATTTTTTAAAAACCGTTTCTTTAAGATTTTGGGAAACTTGAATATGTAACTGATTTACAGCATTCCTTTTTTTGATTTCCTCAAAAGTTAGTTTTCAACTATTAATAAATTAATAAAATTTTAATTTTTAGAAGTATTTAGCTTTAATATATATATAACCTGAAATGTGAATAAGCTATTTAGTTTCTTATTAACGATATTAATACTGCCATGCTGATCAAAAAACCACGACGTAATTGGAAAGACCGACTTAAACACGCTACGGACCTAAAGTAAAGGCCTCAGTCCCTTGACTCGGTTTCATGATGGTAAACCCAAGTCTCATTCCTAGTTCATGACAATGCTTCATTACAATCTTTAATTCTTTAAAAAGTACTCCAGATGTTGGTGACAGACTCATATTGTATCATTGTTAGCGAATGCGGTACCCATTGTTCCTTAAGTTTTTGAAAACCCAAAAACTGTTTATAAAAATATATAATATGATAATTAAAATTATTTAAAAAATATTTGTCAGTAATTAAATACTTAGATATTTTACTAAAAGTTTTTCATTTTTGATTTTATCGTCATATTTTATTTATGACCGCAGACATTATTTTATCTAATAGAAGCGATTATATTTGAGAGAGGTTTCGAACAGTACTGAATTGCAACAACAAAATTTTTTATTTATTTTTAATTAATTGAAATTTTGGCTGACCATACAGTTTTTTCGAGTATTGCCAAAAGCATGGGATATTATGAGAAAAGTTTATAGAGGGCTTTAAAAACACTTTGAGGTTAATTAATCATTATCAATTTAAAGGACACCTCAATTTTTTTATTTAAAATATTCCACGATTCTCAAATATCAACATCAAAACTCTGTGCGGCAAATACATCCAATTTTATTTTGTTTGTGATATTTTTATATTTATTATTAGCTAAAATAGTTTTTGTTATAAAATTTTGCTTTCTTCATTGCAAATTTATTTAATAATTTTTACTATTTTGGGCGTTGCACGTGATATTTCGGTTTTTTTGATTTTGAAGTCTCACATTTTTGCGGCAGGTTCCATCAACAAAATAACGCCCAAAAATAATAAAAGCAAATTTTTATTTCATTTGAAGTATTTTTTTAAATAAATTTCAATTTAATACATTTTGCCCAAATTTCGTTAACTCTGCTTTAATAGATGTTTGATATTTGATGGAAATTCGTTATATAATCTCGTGATCAATCAAATTTTATTGTATTTCCTGTCGTTCAATGTTGGCATAAAAATATTTTATATTATAATAGCAATACATTATCGTTTTGTTTTTAAAATCAATTTTAATAAAATTCCTAATTATAAATTAAAATTTTTTTAAGTATGTATTCTGCTGGAAAGAACAAATTTTAGCGCACATTAAGCTGAAAACTCAAGACTAAATTTGTATCTGATTATCGCGTGAATATTTGATAAGATATGTTTATTTCCTGACAGACTCGTTTTTCTAGTCCAAAGCATCATCAATGTTTTTATATTATCTTATTTTATTTTATTTAAAACAAATTAACAAAGATATTGTCACACTTTTGAAGGAAAGCGAAATTTTTGGAAGATTAAAGAAGGCGCTACCAATTATATAAAGAGTCTACTTCATTAAAGTAATAATGTTATAATACAAAATTTTATAATTAATTAAAATTTTATTAAAATATTATTAAAAATTTAATTTAATAATGTTAAACTACGTAATTACATATTACATATTTTATTCTTTGTGTATTAATTTATTTGCATTAATTGTACTATTCAATTTTAATACAATTTTATTAATATTATTATTTAACTATTATAATAAGTATTTTTGATAATTTATTAATATGGTTTAAAAATTTTTAAATTATTTTTTTTTTTGTATTTTGACAGTCTTCAAATTAGGCAGCACTTAATTCTGGAGACTTGCAATCCAAAAATGTGTACATCCACAATTGAGCCAATAGATGTTTCTAAAGAAACAATATCTAAAGCAACTTTGTGGTTAGGTCCGTTTCTTTATCAAAATTTAAATGTTTGAATTCAAAAAGTTCTTCAGTGTTACTTTATTTTTTATTTGACGATTGATTTATTGTGAATTTTATAAACAGAAATTTCTTATTCAATATACAAGATGAAAGAAAGTTTGTATGAGGATTAAATTTAGCATTTTCTAAAGTTTCAAGCATGTACTTACTCAAATATCAACACTTTTATATAGAGAGATCTAATATATTACTTATTATAATGTCTCTCATAATTACTTAAGAGAGGCTAAATAGAAGGTCCGTTGTTTCTATTACAGATTCTTGTGGTATTCATATTAAATAATTTCCTTGTCGAAGTTAGGGAATTTCAAGAAGTCGAGATTCGGAGAGAATCTCAGCGTAAGCAACAGTGAAACGATCTTCTAGTTATTTAA